ACAACCATCATCAGTATGTAATAGAATTTTCAATAAGTGCGGCCAAAGCCCTTCAGCCATAGTCATGGTATAAAAGATTTGGGGTAGGCCAAAACTTTGAACCATTGTATTTACAGAAAGTTCACGTTGACGAAAATATATATCACCAGTTCAGATGTAAGAAGGGAGTGTAGTGGTTAACATTTCATTAATAATTGGTCGATTACTGTAAATACTTTAATTAATCAAATTTGCGATCGTTGGAAGTTGCTGTTGATCCATATCCTGTTGACGTAAAATATATAATCTGTTTTGATGGTTTTGTAGCTTTTCTAAATTAATATAGGACCAGTATGGCCAGTACTAGTAGAGATGAAATCGAGGATCAGGACACAATAGTCAAAGTTTGATATATTTTGCATAAGTATCGATATGTTTATGACGGTTATTTAATTCTCTGGAGAGTTCTCCCCAATGACCGTGGCTATCCAGAAAGAGATCAGGAAAAAGTATAGCTTCTAAATTAGGATCATTATATGGAATTGGTAACTCTTTATTATTAGAACCTCTTATAAAACCCGCCAATAGTCTACTATAATGAAAATCTTCATTGTGTACTTCTAGATCAAAATTATATGGTGGTATTATGATATCTGGACAATGTTGTAGTGGAGTGTTATCAGTTAATATATTTTCTTCATTAATAACTTTTGCTATAGGAAAAATCATAATCTATCTGAATGGGAAAAATGGTTACATCATTTTGAACGAGATGAATTTCAGAATCGTGGCAGTATACATACCCATGGTATAGCTTATCTCGATAAGTTTATTCCAAATCTAATAGATCGTAATGTTATTCGTGCAGATTTGCCTGATCTCTAAACCAAACCAGTTCTTTATGAACTGGTTACTAATCATCAAATTCATTAGTGTTGCTCTAATAGATATGGTGGGCTACCTCTTTCCAGTAAACAATGCAGAAAAAAATTTTCTGCACCACTATCAGATCACACTTATTTTAATTCTACTTTATTACATTATACTTATCATCAGACCAAAGAAGCAGATCGTTGGATTGTTCCCTATCACGTGCCTACGTTATTGTTATAGTGAGGACATTGTAATTTTCAATACATCATCTCTAGATCTTTTGCTAAATATATGACTAAATATATTACTAAACCAGAAAGTTCAGATATGTTTAGACTAACTGAACATGACACGTATCGGTCTCATATCTTAGCAAGGTATCTTGATGTGATGGAATTGATGATTCTTTTAATTAGATACTCTATTTGTCATTCAACTATTGCTACTGAATATTTACCAACTACTCTTCCTAATATACAATCAAAGTGTATAAAGCCGGTTTATCTGTTAACTGTTGATAATTCTAATCTATACTGGGTAGACGCTATTGACAAGTATTTTTATAGACTGATCGAGTCACACTTTGATAATATTATATATCCACATTATCATCAAAATTACAAATTAATATCTAATCGTCCGAATTCAAATACTAACTATAACTATTGGATAGATCAGCAGGGTAAATTTGTAATTAAGAGAAAAAAGTCAATTTTAGTATGATTCCATCATCTTTCAATAGAAGATAGCAAATCATTTTTTTACCAACAACTTCTACTTCATTTACCATGTAGAAATGAGAGTAAATTATTAGGCTCATTTTCTACTTATCGGGATCATTTTCGTTCAAAATTTTCTGAGCAATTTAATCAGGTTGTGCTGAACATTAGTTAGAATACATCAGCAAGATTTACTAGATTTTCTCATAATTACCAACAGCATATAGATAAAATAATACATAGTATGCGGCAGGATATTGCAACTATTATATGTAACTAGCTTAATACTTTAATGTATTCTCTGCCCTTGATTTCTCGATATTCTTTACTAGAAACACCAACAGACCAATATGCAGTATTCAATATATTAACTTTAGCGTGGAGATATAGGTAAATGCAGTCATCCATATTTTTTCTTAACTAGTTCAGCAGGAACCAGAAAATCATATCTAATAACTTTGATTATAAATCATCTTCTATCACATCGTAAAAAGTATTTGTTAATAGCTCCAACGGGTGTGTCTGCCCAAAATATTAATGGTAAAACAATTCATTCTCAGTTAAAAATATGACCATCTTCTAGTAACCATGTGAGTTTAGCCCTAAATGATCAGGAAAGTCACCAACTTCTTCAAGAAACTGAGGTTATTATAATCGACGAAATATCTATAGTATCTGCTAGCTTATTAACATTTATCAGTAATCTCTTTGCTCGTCTGCACAATAACTCTTTACCGTTTGGTGGAATCAAGGTTTTACTAATCGGTGACCTTGCACAACTGCCCCCTGTAAGTGGTGCCCAAGTGTTTCGATCTCCTGTATGGTCCAAATTTTTCCCCATATTTTTAACAATGCCTCACAGGCAAAATGAGGATATGATGTTTTATGGAGTGTTAAATGAAATTCGGAACGGAATGTTATCAACTAATACATTACGAGCAATAAATGATAAAGTAAAGATTCCATCTTCATGCTCCTCTATTGATATTATGCACTTAGTTGGATTCCGTGCTATGGCTAATAACATAAATAAGTTGGCATGTCTAACCTTACCCCGAGAACCAGAAGATCCTGAACACATCATATCAACAGCTATTGACTATCAAGAATGGGATGCAGTAGATAACGATTGTAATTTCTGCCAACATACAAATCTACCTACAACATTAATTTTGCAAAAAGGTACCTGTGTCATATATCTTGATAATTCCTTATTTGAACATGGCCTTTATAATGGATCTATTGGAGTCATCATCGAATTAATCAATGAAGACTCGGTCAATGTTATATTTTCAGCACTACTAAGAATGATTACAGCAACCGTAAAAAGAATAACCAAACATTTTATTTTAAATGGCTTGCCAGCAAGTCGACATTAATTTCCCCTCCATAATGCCTTCACACTCACAGTACATAAAACACAAGGATCAACCATACCGAATATATCAGTTTCTATTGATGAGCAAATATTTGCATATGGTCAAGCATATGTTGCACTCAGTCGCGCCCCATAATGGGATTCCCTGGATATTACTTCATTCGATCCATCTTATATAAAAGCAGACCCAGCAGTTATTACTGAATATAAGTAATTAACTTCATTATATAATGATGGTTTAAGAAATTTTTTACATCAGTTTTCTTAATTCCGTATATTTCACTTCCTATATAATATTAATTAAATATATAAAAAAAAATTAATTGCCATTACCCTGTTCTGTCACCCCATTACACACCCATACACTTATTTGAATTAGGTTGAATATTAAGTAGAGATAACCCAAAAAAGCAAAGAATAGCCAATAATCTAAAGTCATCATTAAAAGAACCAAAATAAATACTATCAATTTTTTTTATATTCATAATTTTTTCTTATTATCTATTATCTAAAGTAAATATGTTAATAATAAATTTGCACAACTACTGATATGATGAAAAAGCCTAAAACCATCTTATGACACTTTTTTGCCCTGTTGAATTTTTGCAAACGATAGTATACTTAAAGTAAGTGATGATCTTCAATAGTGATAATATAAAAAAAAATCCAAGTAGTCAATAAATAATTTAATAATAGCTTCTGATAAATGAAATAATATTATCTGTATAGTAGATTGCTGTTAAACACATTAACATTATAACTCATGAATCCAACTCCAACTTTTGATTTATTAACATACAATTCAATAACTAAAATTTAAATTAAGAACTGAGTACATGTTTAGATCTAATAACCGTGGAATTCTGAACTAGTCTTATTATGTTAACCCAATTTCAACTTAAGAAAACGAACCTGGTACCTTTTTCTGGTGACCAAATTTTAACCAAATAAGTTGATCGTAGTGTAATAAATAATCTTAAGTTCAATACTATGTCGGCCTGAGTAAGAGATGCAATCCATGAACTATATTAATCAGCCTGAATAAGAACAAATTACTAAATGAATATATATACTTTGATTAATAAATAACAAACCTTCATAACAATAATATCAAAATTAGCGTTAATCGTATTTAATAATATACGTATATACTAATTTGAACAATATCAGGATACAGGATAACTTATCCGTACATGTGATAATTTATCAATGACTTAATTATGATTATTATAATATAACACAAGTTGGAATAACGTAAATTAATTCAAGTTTCGCCAATATAAATAAAATGCATAAATCTTTATCCTCAGGGAAACTACATCATAACTAAACTAAATCTGATACGTAATGTACTAATATAATTGATACAATGTACTTATTTCTAACTCCCTTTAAGAAACTCTAAAGCCTAGTTTTATATTATAAAAAAAGTTTAAATTATTTATAGACAAATTTAAAAATCTTAATTAAAAAAATAATATTACTCATTACAACCAGCAGGGTGCTTATATCTCAAAATTGTACTAAGTAAACAGGATTAGGTATCCTAAGTAAACATGTTCAGGATTCTGAAAATCTCACAAGAACTAAAATTGGAACCTTATATTTTATCTACATTATATGATATTATACAAAAAAAAAATCTCTAAAACTGCACCCTAACCCTAAAAATATGCAGCCGTGGTAACAATCACTACCAGTTATTTGTAGTAAAAATCAAAAAAATTATTTATAAATTCTTAGTAAACTTTTTAATATTAGCTTTAAACTTATAGTTTTAATACAATATTATTGCTTATATAGTTAGACCCCTAAGTGCACATTTTCTAAGTGCATAGTATATGAAAAACTTCTTTAATATGGATGCCTCTGCTTGGTTTCAACTCATATAACAATTATAAAATTTAATCTCCCAAAATACACACCTTCTCTAAGTATATATTTTGCATTTTTTTCACTATGGTTCCAAGAGGTGTAACTGTATAATATATAAAATTTTAAAAAATTTATAGTAAAAATTTTTAAAATAAAATTTTTAAACTTTTATTACTTCAAGTATTGCTTTTTTAAATAGTATTTACACTCTGCCCTCGTTATAACGGACCCCGATATAGCGGATACCTTATTATAATGGAGTATTTTTCTAAAACAATTTAAAATTATTATTATTATTTTATATAACATTATAATGGATATTCATTTATTACGGATATAATGGACAAAATTTTTCAGCCCGAAGGGTCCGTTATAACGAGGGTAGAGTGTATTTTTAAAATTCTCTTATATAATTATTAATTTTTTTTGTTTACTTTGAACTATTGTATTTGGACTACATATTTACATTATATTTTATTATAATATTTTTATAAATATTTTATAAATAGATCAGCAAACTTTGTAAAACTCTATTAACATTTATATAAATATTTTAAAAATTAATAGAAATATAATTAAAGTAATTAGTAGTAATATTACTACTAATTATATAATTAGATACTATTTATATATATTATTTTACTTTTTTTTGTTTTAATATTTATTATTTTTATATTTATTATTTTTTTGTTATCTATATCAATAAAATTTTAGCTAGTACTAACTTTTTTTTGATTTTTAAATAATAGTTTCAGTGGTTTTTATTATTAGTATATAATAATAGTGTTATTAGTTAATAATATATCTAGTTTGATACATTTTTGTATTGGTTCTTTTTTTATCATTTATTTTATTACTTGGTATTAACTTTCACATTTCTCTTTTTAGATTTTTTAGATAATTATAATACTTTTTATTATTAGTATTTCTTGTTGATATTATTTGTCAGTATTTTCTATATTTGTATATTTTTTGTTGCTAGTGTCTTTAGTTTAGTACTTTTTTTTCTTTTCTTCACTTATTCTTTTTGCTAACTCTTACATTTCTCTTTATTTAAGAGTTTAAATAATAATTTTAGTGCTTCTTATATTTATTGCTAGTGTTATTAGTTAGTACTTTGTTTATTTTTGTGTATCTTTGTTGCTAACTTTTTAATTCAATATTTTTTTATTTTAGTTAATTAAAGTTAGTAAAATCTAACCTGAGCTACAATATTATCTTTTTTAGCCAATTTTGGAGAGTAAAGGATGACTACAATTTTTTATAATTTTTCTAAAAAAATGTGGAATGCCTAAAGCAGAGTATATTTTTATTAAATTAAATTTAGAGTTATAATTTATATAAGCAAAAATTATTTTGTGCCATTTTTATTAATATATTTAAAATAGGTTTAGACTACTATTTTTATGTTTTTTATATTCTGCTTTATCAGGATTATCAAAATCATAAAATTCTTATTGCCTAGAGCATGGTGGAAAATACTTAATGGATAAGTAAAATGATACCAAAACTATGTTTTTGATTCATTAAAAGTTCTGATTTTTTGATGTATAAATTAATTCATTTTCTAGAGTATAGTGAAAAACACTTAATAGATAAATAAGACGAACCAAGATTATGTTTTTGATTTATTAAAAGTTTCTGATTTGATATACAAAATTTATAATAGAACTAAATCAAAAACATAACTTTTGAAAAGAATATCTGTCTACACACATAACATATAATAATTATATGATAGTTCTGAGCCAATATTGAACTTAAATAGAGATGCAAGCTATGTCTATACTATATTATACTATTGATATAATACCAGTATTATACTGGTATTATACATATAAATATAAGTATAATATCAATAATAGAAATAGTTAGCTAATTAAACTGCTTTATCTGCAATTCTGAAAGTTTTTCTAAAAATAATTCTAAAAAATTCTAAATAATATTAAGCTAAAAATAAAATGATGGTACTATACTGTATTATATAGTATTATACTTGGATATTATACCACAATTTCTATTATACTAGTATAACTGCATCTCTAAACCTAGATGCTATATAAAAAATATACAACAGATTCTTGATTTTGATTGACTAAAAAATTAAGCTAGAATTATTTATAATTTTACTAATAAAATCACAGCCACTGTAATGCCCAGATTTGGGAGAGCAAATATTTTATTAAGAGATTTAGATTTAATAATAGTTGGAAGTTAAAGAAAGTATAATTATTAGAATAATTCGTGTATCAATTTCTTACCATTTACTTAACTAACTGTTTATCTAACTTATTCTCTCACTTTATTAATAACAGATATTTTTATATATTTACAATATTTCTGATTTAATTACAATATATTATTAATCAAAGAAATGTAGTAATAGTCTATTAACAAATTATTATAGTAAAATTAATCATAGATATTTCTACTACATAATTATGATACAACTATTAAGTGTTAACAAAAATTTCTGTAATACTGCCTATTAAGTAAAAATTGTTTCTGGGTCAATTTTACTATATATGTACTTATTTTTAAAAATTTTTACAGTCAGATCTCTCTATAATCATACTCTATATAGTTATACCTCTATATAAGTACTCAATATTATATAACAGACTTAAAACATAAAAAAATCTCTTTATAGTTACAATCATTTATAATTACTATCACCAAATAATTTAATAAATTTAGAAGTTTTATTAATAATTAAACCTTTTTATAATTACAAATTTGTAAGCAATTAATCTGATTGGCTACAAAGTTCTAATAGTGCTTAATGCAAAAGTTATGAACTAACCTCTTTTTGGATTAAGGTAATTTTTAGTCAATCACAGATAGTTGCTATATAGTAAAGTCTAAAATTTACTATACTAATTAACTAAAATTGCTTAAGTTAATATATGGGATCTTTGCTAGGATTTTTTTTCTAAAAATAGATTTATTATGTTTTTCGTAATAAAAATCTCGTGTAACAATGGCTTGTAGGGTCATTTTTCTAGCAAAGATCCCATATTTAAAAGATCAAAATACATATACTATAAAATTTTTATCCAAATCTGTAAACATTTTATTATTTGACTTTTAATTTCTATATTCAATAAAAAAATTAAAATTTTTCTAATAAAAATATTTGTTGAACATAGAAATTAAAAGTTAAATAAGAAAATTTGGATAAAAATTTCAGAACATATGTATTTTGATCTTCTGAACAAGTTTACTTAAATGTCTTTAGTTGATTAGCATAGTAATATTTAAACTTTACTATATAATAACTATTATTAATTATAGAGTAGCTTATTTTCAGATCAATGATGTTTTAAATTTTTAACCCAAAAAGAGAATAGTATGTTTTATTAATTCTGTTTCTAAACCTGCAATAAATAGAATTATTTTGTCAATAAAATAACAGTTAATAATAAAATAAACTGTCTATGGAGTAATTTGTAGTTAAATTATCTTGTTAGAATAATAAGATATTAGAGTTATAGAGTTATTTTTAATATAACTGTGATTATATAGAGGTTTAGTTTATAGTCACACTTCTGTATAATCACCACATTAGGGTGCGACCAACTTGGTAATTGTATAGAGGTCTGACTGTATTTTTTTAATGAAAAATTAAAAAGTTAATTCCGGCCAGAATTTAGTAACCAATTTTGTAATGCAGATCAAAATTTCGAAGATCATCGGCTGTGCATTTTTTGTGCGGCACCTAGGGTAAATCCGGGCCAATAATACTACGCATTAACCTAGTTATTTGATTGGCTCGCTATCACAAAATTCTGCTCCACTTCAGATGACCAACTATAATAAGATAGAACAAGAAAATTAGAGAAACAACAACACCAGACTCTACAGAATATAATAATCGCCAAATAACTTTTTTCATTGATTTCTACTGTAATTAAATAAAAAAAAAAAAGTCGATTAACCAATTAAAATTATCCAATTTCACGCACAGTATGATAGATGGACAACTGTGAACAATTATTTAACTGAGAATGTTAAACTGTATGAATTAGAGTTTGGAACCGGTTTTATTTTTCATATGTTAAAACCAGTTTTAATCGGTTTTAACATATTAAAAATAAAACTGCTTCCAAACTCTAGTACGAATTCTTGTAAGATGGATGCTTAGAACTTGATTTTCTTACTCGTTCTGGATTAAGTCGAGGACAAATTTGGCAACCATTTGAGTTATAGTATATCAATTTTAATCTTTTCGTTTATCGCTAAAAAGTTTTATAATTGAGTCTTAATATCTGGATTTAATTCATAACCTTTCTTAAACTATTTATAAAATTTATAAAATCGATAAATCAATTATTTTTTTATTAATTCATAATAATTATTTGATCTTTTTTTTTTCTAACATTACTTGACAAATTTGTATATTTATTTAATGAAATAAAATTTTAATACTATTTAATGATTTATTAAATCAACTCTTTTATATACAGTCGACTCTATATAATGAACCTCTCTACAACGAACTCTAATATAAAAAGCCTAATTATTTTTGAATTATATAATAGTTTTTTATAAAAAAACGCCGAGCTTTTGATAAAACATAGTAATTTTATATAATGAACTTTACTTTTCATCCTCTCGAATCGTTAGTTCGAGTTCGTTATAGAAAGAGTTGATTATAAACCTTTTATGATAATAAAAGCAATGTAAATAACTAAGAAAATTTTCTTACCAAAATGGTTTGTTTTTTTTATAAGTGCAAAATACAATATATATTAATATATATATATATTGCGAACATGAATTGTAATAAAAAATTGACTACGTTATTCTTCAATCGGTGAAAATTAAAGAATGATCTAGGTCGATTAATAAAAATCAGTGATAGAGAATGAAATATGTTAATTACATTATACTTATACATCAATATTGGCCCAATTCTGATATTTGTATCATCATTCATTTCAAAAAAATAGTATAGTTCGTTAATCAGTATAACTTTATTGGCTTCTATTACAGCATTATTGTTTTATAATGTTCTAGAATACTTTCAGGATATACCCAATCTGAACGTTAATACAGAGTTAACTGTTACACTGTGCTTATATTTAATTAGAAATTCCTTATAAAATGTTATCGTGTGAAATGCTATATAAAATTTACAATTTGAAATTATTTAAATACATTAAAGTAACCATATATTTACAACATAAAATATAGTAGTTGCTTCATCGTATAGAGAACCAGCTTAAAGAAAAATACATTTACGCATGGCATTTATGGGAAGGAAGATCCTAAAATCAGCGACTTTGAGAGTTGTTCTTCCTGTGGTATCTGATTTTCTGCACCTTGAGTTCTGGTGAATAAAGCTGTGCTTTCAACGCCTTCAACTAGGTCAATGTATTGTTGAGTCTCATTAAATGAATTGAGTGGACCAATGAAATTGTGGTGTCTTTGATTATTATTATTATTATTTAGCAGTTGAGCATTAAAAGGTTGGTTTGTAGACTGGTTCATATTAACAATTTTTTATTTTTTTTTTTGTTTAAAAAAAACACAGGTAAAAAGCTGGATTTTTTATATTAAATTTAATGCCTGAAATTTCAATTCATTGCACATTTGAGAAACACTATATTTAATATTATAAATACTCTATATACTCTATATATAACTTGACATACCGTATTAGAGCAACAGGTATGACAAATATTGTTTTTAGTAGTAATTCGAGGATAATATAATAGGACTAATTCAGTTAATTTAAATTTTTAAGTTGGACGGTATCTTTTTTTGGGCATCCTTATGTCAAGAAAATCCCGGGTTTCTGTTTTTTCCTCATTGTTGTTTATTTAGTACATTCCTTGACATTTGCTTTTCTTATTTCTTCAGACTTATCTTTACCGTTTTTAGATGCTCTTTAAAGAATATCCAGTATTTCCTTTAATTCTTTATTAGGTGTTTCCTTGTTGTTTTGTTCATTAAATTTTTGTAGTAACTAATTAATTAATTATTTTCATTATTTCTAGGCATCTATCTGTGTTTTAATGCTTTAAGGTTGAAATAAATGCTGACTTCAATGTTGGAGAAATGTTGACTTTATAGTCGAGTAAACGTTGGTTTTAATATTGGTTTTAATGAATTAAATTTTATAAAACTGGTAAAAAATTTTTTTTTAAAAAAAAAAATTAAAATTTGAAATTAAAGGCTTTCTGAAAAATTTATAATAAAGAAGTATTATAAATTTTATTGAATTTTATTCTCGTATATTACAATAAATTTTGACACTTTAAAACGAAGATATCTCGGCAAAAAGCTAATTATACTCTATGAATTTTTTATTTAATTCTATATGTAAAAAAAAAATTATTGAATATAATTAGGTAGTTGCCGAGATATCTACGCTCAAAACTTAATTTTGTTACTGTTACGCGAAGAAGCCAAAAAAAAAAGATGATCTACATCCCGGGATTTTCTTGACATAGCACATATGATCAAAAAAATTTAAGCATTGATTGCTATTTAGTTTGCTTATACTAGCCTGCATCAGTTACACAAAGGTTCCATATTTAGAGCTCGTCTAAAGTTATGAATCCAGACCAAAATTGGCCATTTGTAAATCAAAATCACGTGCCAAATATAAATTACTATAATACCTACTATATATACTGTATACCCGGTTTTAGACAATCTCTATATTTAGATAGCATGACGTACGTACGAAATCCTGTTTGAATATTTTTTTGTTTAGTAGTATGACGTACATACGAAATCCCGTTTGAATATTTGTTTTTTGTTTAATAGCATGACGTTCGTACGTACGAGAATCTGTGATTTAAAAAGTAGGGTTCCCGGTTTTACGTAGCTGTGCAGCTACCTCAAGCGCTTCGAAGGTCCATATATTTACGTAATCTCACATAGATGACAATAATATTATGTAATATTTGATATACATTTATGCAAGTGTAAAGTCACTTAACTATTTATATAAATTTTTCTTTTTGTGCAGTCTGAAGGTCCGTAGAATGAATAAATATGGGTAATTATTTTTAAACCCAGGCCAATTTTATATATGATGTAATAACATTTTGGTCTAGATTCAAAAATAATACCAATATTTGCAAGTTATTATATAAACCACATATAATATAGATTCATGTAATTTATTACTTAACAATTTTATCAAAAAGTTCATTATGTACTTTATATCAGATATAGTGCGTACAACGTTATGTAGTTATATATTCGAAAAGTTTATATTTTGCGTAATTATGTCATGCAATTACCTTATTTTGCACAACTGTTCATGCAACTACCTTTTTTGTAACTGTTTTATGCAGACACCTTATAGAAAATCGAAAAACAATATATAGATTTATATCAATGATGACATGCATGAGAGCCAAAGAAAAAACAAAATAACGTAATAATAGGCGCTTTTGTATAAATATTATTACAGTAAAATAATGTCATGAAATTTTGGTGTATTTAAGCATAAAAAAGTTCGTAACCATAGTAAAATTATAAAAATAAAGTGTAAAATATTTATTCATTTCAAGTAATCTATAGTAAGACTTTATAATAGATTAAATGAAGTGAAAATCAAAGTTTTGACTGATTTGATTTTCTTCATCCTAAACTCTGAACCACTGCGTATTTTTAAGATCTTTCATTGACTTCTAACTAAATAAAAATGTTGCGCAAAAAAATAAAAAATTACATGTTAAAAAAGCAAGTAAAAAAATGGTTTAATTACTTCATTTAAGGTAATTTGATATATTAAAATGTGATAACAATTTTAATATTTGCTTGTTGCCCGAATCCAAAAAAATATCATAGTTTGAGGTTGTCTACGCATAATCCGATACTGAGTCAAGTAAATTTCTTATTATAATTATATATTAGACCACGCAAAGTTAATTTTTTGGCTTGCATAACCCGCAGACTAATTTTCACAAAAAAAATTTTTCTTTGAGTCCCAATTGTGCCAATTATTATATTTTTGGTAAGCCCTAATTTCCCGGAACTATCTGATTGCGCTGATAGAAAAAAAAATCCGATCTGCAAACCGAAAAATAACTTTACATGACCTTAATATTTGATAAAAAAATTTTTTTAATAATTAGAACCTGTTCTTTTTGGTTTGGATTTGTTCAAGTTGACATGATGAATTTATATGAGAGTAAGAAACTTTCGTCCTCTCTTAAAATTAATCTATCGTGCAAACTCTTATGATCTTAGATTTTTTTGTCATTTTTTGTACGTTATTACTTAAGCACAACAATCTCAAATTAAAACCCAGTTAGCCAATAATGACTTGTAAATCATGATCATAATTGCACGATAACATGGATATTGGATTATGCGATGATATTAATCGTTGCATGACCAATATCATTTAATGATTGGCCAAAAAAATATGTAAAAATTGGCATGATATTGCCAAAAAAATATTATAAGCTTCTTCATATCTGGATAGATTTGCCAGTAAATTAATGTAAATATTTATATTGCATCATCGCGTAATCATTGTATTTAGTTTCTATTACGCAATTCAAACCTGGGTAATATTGTGTCGACGAATTGTGTCATCATATCAAATTGGTTGTTTTATTCATTTTTCTATCTTAAGTCTTTGATACAAAAGATTTTTGGTCCTATATTTGATTATTTCACATATGAATAATTATAATTTTTGTAAAATTTACAGGTGTTGATATGTCATTTGTAGTGTTGGCGTATATCCTAAAAATACTGCTATGTGATTTGCAGATCGTTTGCTAAACCAAATTGCTTCTATTCTGAAATATTCTGAATCTGGGCCGAATGATCTGCAAAATCGACCAGAGTTATACGAATCTTATTAAGTTTGGAATCCACTTAAGTAGATTCTAAATGCACTTAAGTTGAAGCAAATTTCAAACTAGCTTAAGTCAATTCAATTCCGGATCTATTTAGCAATATTTAAATTTGAAAATATTCTAGCTGAATCTGAACTCTGTACTTTAGCTAAAAATTATTTGGGGCATGACAATC